TCTTCTTCTTCTTCTTCTAGTACAACCTTACGCATCCAAGCTTTCAACCTTGGAACGATTGAATTCTGACATAAGCATGTACCGCATAATTATGAGATCATATTAGGAACAGTATACGATTCAGGTATAAGTTATTTTCTCATGAGTAACAGTCAAGCAAATGACAGACATATCATGTTAAATTCTAGGTTTTCAAAATTATACCTTGAAAAGTACCGCTGTTCCAGCTCCTGAAACAGCAAGAAACCCTACAGCAAGAAGCGCATGAGACCAGTGGAATCGAGAGAATGTCCCCATTTTTGAAATGCTTCCTGCAGGTGCAACTGGTCCAGGCTGCAGAGTTTGTGTCGGGGCTTGCGATTGAATATTTGATGAAGATTTTAGTTGCCCATCTGCTATCAATGTGGGAGCGGAGAGATAGGAACATATTAGGCAGGTCAAGTCCGAATAGTTAAGACAGGGTGAGAATCTCAATCAAACATTAAAATTTGTTACCCTGATTAGTGGCAACTGGCTCTGAAGCTGTAACAGCTGGGGTTGGATCCTGTAATTTACAGAAACCAGTAAGGCCATACACTTACCTTCCCCGCTCATAATCACCCACCAGGGTACAAATAGATGCACACTTCACATAATTTGTTTATCGAGATTGGGAATGAGGAAGTGTTACTTACTGGAACACGACGGAAGGCTTCATCTATCTCCTCTTTTGTGAGTCCCTTCCTTTCAAGAAATGATCTTCTATAAATCACTGGAGATCCCCTAACTTTAGGATGTGAAAGAAACTTTACAGCATTTTGCACTTGATCCTCTCTAATTGGTTCTGAGTTCACAAATACAGAAGTTGGAGAACTCTCCTTTGCAGTCTCTGCCTTGGCATTTTGACGATCATCTACTGCTGCTTGTGAAACCTGTGAAACTGTAGTTCAAATTGGAAACTATTATCATCGGCAGCCAGATTTTGACACAAGCATATCTGGGAAGACGGAGGAACAGGCTGATTACAATTTCTATGTTACTTCCATCAGCTAGTAGCATTCGCTCTACAGGCCAAGTTGATAAATATAAAAGATGGCTCAAATTGGATAATATGCAAACATCTCATGCATATTGTTGGTACACAGAACATATCAGAACAGAAGACAAGTACTATGGATGGTGGATAGGAAGCACCAAACTGGTAATATCTCAAGTTTTAAGAGCACTTAAAAATACAATTTTTTAATACATAAAACTGATTAGCGATAAAAAGCACCTTCTTTAGAACAGTTCTTGCCTCAAAAATAAGCAAAAAGAAAAAACAAAAGGCGGGAATCATTCATCAGAAATGAAATATTTTGGAAGCAATTTAAAGTCAACTGTGCAGAAGCTTAAATTCTGTGGGTTTTCAAGACTATAAATTGAGAATGTAACTGATAACTGGTTTCATAAAATTGGCATCAGAAATCAATTTGGCAACCAAGTGCACTTAACACTTATCATTCTCACAAAATGTACAGATATTGAAACCTTGATGTGGCAAATGCAGGTTCATTATAACAATTTCTTCATTAATTCATTGAATAATGCTATTTAGTCCATTAAATTTCTTTAGATTATTGGCCATCTTAAATGCAGAAATGAGTTACATTTAAGAATCGAAGAAGGCACCACATTTAACTTTTCCAGTTACGACCTAGCCTTGTCTCAAAATTTTAATGAATTAAAAAAATCCACTTTTTGCACATATAAACATACTCCATAAAACTGGTTTTGCCTCTGTTTACCAAGGTGGACTTTAAATAAACACCAAACTAGTCAGTTACACAGAACTTTATGTGCAGGTTCTCTTGTAATAATCAACATAAAAAATAGGATAAATGCCATAAAATACTTATTGGGTTATGGAAAGAAAGCGATCAAACTGCAAACATACTTATAATCAGTATAATTAGCAAATCACGTATTTCTCATTGATATACACTATACTAAATTAACTAGAATTTCCTTCTACTAAAATGCAGCATATCTAGCTAAGCTTAAAAACTTTACTTATAAACGCATATATTTATAAGTATATAAGTAATTTTTTGTTTGGCAAAATTAGTACAAGCAAGATACATATATTTAAAGTATATTAAGTGAAAGTAAGAAAGAAGTAATTGAAAAGTTATTAACCTTTACTTATTTTAAACCTGGAAAAGCATACATGGTCCGTTAATTGAGTCAGAATTACAATTATTCGCGCTTAATTAATTTTCATATTTTTGCACTTTCCCAAAACAAAAACATACATTACAGCATAAAATAAGAAAAAGAAAACTTTAATTTCACCAATAAAGATAGAATTAAAGAGAATACAAACCTAGGTTTTGGGGCTTTTCATCTATGGGATTTGGCGGAGAATCAGATTGACTCGCCATCTACTGTTCACCTCTTTTTCCCGCACGGGAAAAAAAAA